ATAAAAAGGCGATTGAATGATAGTCATCATGTATTCTCCGCATTGGAGCTATACCAGTTGATTAGAAGTAGATTAAAAAGCATACCTCAGAATCATCTTGCAGTTGCTTGCATCTTGGTAGGTGGTCAAAATTAGTAGAGTGTAGACTACATATTCGCAGAGCAACACTTTTATTTGCTTTCTCAGAAGACAGGTCCTCATAATTTTGTGCAGTTTGCAGGAGGATCTGAAAATCTTTAGGCTAAAATCTGTTGTTAATCGCAGCTGTGAGAAGCTTGCTGGAGAGCAAGGTTTCCTAAAGGGCCATACCCACAGAACTCGGGGGAACTTGCTTAAAATGCACACTTGGTGTCCTCACCTGGTCCTGCCAGGTGGGAAATTCTGGGGATGAGGTCTGGGAACCTGCGTACGTTACAGCAGCAAGCGGTTCTTGTGCGTGGTCAGGTTGGAGAACCGCAGGCTGAGACGGGTGGAGGCATTGATCAATTAAATTGAACAAATATTAGAAGTTTTGGGGAGATGTCTGAGCATGATCTCAGCATCAGTGCTCTCACCAGCACTTTTGTTGTGGTTTTGACATCATGGGTGAAATCTCACATTCCTAAAATAGAAATGAGACACTGCCTACCCAGCAGAAATAGGAAGGTCCCATATAGCAGAGGTTTGCACCCTTTGCTGGTGGGCATGGACTGAGATGGTTAAGGTGATCTGCTTGAGTTGCATGGATCCAGGAGTGAAAGCTGTCCTTCCTCCCCCATGCACACCTGTGAACCCGCCTCAGCAGGCTGGTGTGTGAATGCAGGGCTGTGCCTGCCAGTTGGTTCCTGTTCTTTTGTACACATGAGAACACGACCACATATCTTGCCGAATCAGGATTTCGTGAGCTTATGCAACCCAAACCAAATCTAGAAAAAGATTGGATACTGAAGGTCAAGAAACATCCATTTTTAGCCCACAGTCTTTGATTTTCAGTTTTTGCATTGTTTAATTACCTGCAATCCTTTAAAAAATACAGCAGTATTGAGATTTTAATATATAGTGACTTTATCCCAATGGGTAAAGTCGGGGGCGATTTTGCCCTCTGGGGGACGTTTGGCAAGGTCAGAAGACATTTTTGGTTGTCACAGCCGGGAGAGAGGGCAAGGACCAGAGATGCTAACAGCATCTAGTGGGTGGAGGCCAGGGATGCTGTGAAACATCCCACGATGCACAAGACAGCCTCTCTGCCTCCTACAACGAAGGATTACCCAGCCCCAAATGTCAGTAGTGCCGAGGCAGAGAAACCCTGCAAGCGATCAACTCCATGCCTCTTATCTGTGTTATATGTTAGGATTCTAAGCGAGTGCTCCTGTTTGAAACACAAAAAAGAGTTCCACGGCTGAAACTGGTTTGAAATTAGCCACCTAGATTATATGAGGATGCCTGTCAGCTTGGTTGGACAGGGAGCACAGGTCACCAAGACTCTGTGAGCCCCAGGTAAGGCCCTGGCTGGTGTGCTTTTGAACTTTTCCAACGAGACCATCTTCCCCGCCGCCACTTCTCCTTCCTGTTGGCTGGGGGCAGAAGAAAGTTTAGTTTAGAACTTCATTCTGACCCACTGCTTCCCAGCTTCTGGGCCCTAGCCCCGTGGCTTTTGTGATAGTACCTGTGGGTGGGCTTTGCGGAGGCCACCGTGCCTGTGTCTGTGCTGGATGTCCGGCACCACACTTGTGAACAGCCTCCTTTCCTGAAGCCCTCCCCACGCCGTTGGAGTTACGTTCCTGTTGTCATTTCCCTGGACCTCGGGTTTCTAGAAAGCGGGGACTTAATCCATTTCATCTTGGCATTCCCACAGAGCATGTTGGAGGAACTGATGAAATTAGAAGTCACCCTTTATTCTGTGTACAGTGGGGGCACCCATATTACTTTTTTAGGTTAAAGCGATCCAAAATGCATTTTGTTTTAGGAGCTATTGTGCTCCTTTCTTAAATAGTTGAATTTCCGGAATGTTATGGAACCCAGGCTTGGAACTGTCACAGCAGAGTCACAGATTTTACTTAAGGTTTCCTCTTCTGATTTCCAGCAGCACCTTCTGTGCTTCTTCCTCACCTCTCCAACCCCTAGAAGGCTCTGCCTTTTGTTCTTCCCCTTGGAGATCTAATCTCTTTAGAACAACCTTAATTGTTCCTTTATCTAAACAGCCCCAGGCCCTTTTCTCGGCTGTGGCTGGCCTTACTGCTGATTTAGATTCCCTCTCTCCTCCTTCATTACTGGCAGAATCCTAATTTTGTGTGGAAGCAGCCTGCCCAATTTGTGAAAAGTTCCTGGACAACTTTGCGGCTGGGGGTAGTCACGTGATGCAGTTCTGGCTAACAAGATAGAATTGGAAGCCCGTCAGGGATTTCCGGGGAAGTTTTTCCTTTCCTGATGGAGGTGCCTCCCCTTCCTCTCTGGCTTATCCCTCTTCTCCTTCCTGCTTGGAGTTTGGAGCAGAGGCTGGTGGGAGCCAGGGACAGGGACAGCTTTGCAGAGCCACTGCGCCTGTTCTGTAAGAAAAACACACGCCTGGGGAATTCCCTGGCAGTCTAGTGGTTAGGACTTCAAACATCCACTGCAGGGGGTACGGGTTTGATCCCTGGTTGGGGAACTAAGATCCCGCATGCCTCGCGGCATGGCCAAAAAAAAGAAAAAAAAAAAAAAAAAAGACACCCCCAGTTGGCTTGTGCTGGGTGCCAAACCTGGGCTTGGCTGGTGCCCAGGTTTCTGTTATGTGCGACCAAGTGCACCCCTGACTGATACTCCAGCTTAGATCCCTCCCCAGGGCTCCAAGCTGGCATTTATCAGCCTAATGGCCCACTGGCACTGGGGACTCCGCAAGGGCACACGTCCTCCTTGTGACCTCCCTGACACTTGAGTTCTCCTCCCGCCTGCCTGCTTGCCACGTCTGACCTGCCTCAAGCCCTGTCTCTGCTGCAGCTGGAAGCCCTTCCTGCCCGCCTGGCCACAGCATGGGGGCTGGGGCACAGGGTCTGCTGCTGAGAGGGGCCCAGTCTCTGGCTGTCCCCCTCCACCCCGTCCCTGCTGCCTCCCCGGCGACTCTCTTCCACATCTCATGACCCCCCTGAATAAAATCTTCAAGGGCTTCTCGTGATCGTCCGTGACCTTCTGCCATCATCCATATGTTGACCCTGCTGACCTAATGACCTGTCTTAGGTCAGCTTCCCTAGAAGCAGAGCCTGGAACAGGAACTGTGGTCTCAGCTGCTCCCCCAGGGAGCTCTGGAGCTTGAATTGCTCTCCAGGGTAATCCCAGGCCTTTTGTCCCCCTGTCAATCAGTCGTTGGCTGGGGACAGAGGACAGATCCTCAGAGAAGTGGGCAGCGGTGTGCTGTCAGCAGTCAACACTCACAGCCGAGATGTGGCACCAGCCCTGGGGTGCCCAACGAGACCACAGTATTGCCCTTAACTCCTGCCTGCGCCCACACCCCAGGCCATAATTTCGCAGCTGTACCTAGTCACTCGCTCTCCAGACTCCCCAGGCCTCTGCTTTGCTCGTTCCTTCTGCCCGCGGGGTGGGTCTCCCCTCCTCACCCAGCCCCCTCTGCGCCTGCTGTAGCTGGTGTGTTATCCTTGGCAGCGGGAGGTGTTTAATCTCTGCGCATTCCAAAGCCGTCCCCCCTGAGGCAGGCTTTCTGTCTTGTCTCCTGTCCTCCTCTATCAAGTACAGTTCTTCATCTAAAACAGAAAATCCAAGCATGATTTCAGTGACTGTCTCCTCCGCTTTCCCGTGGATGGCGTGTGACTCGTACCAGTCGAGGTCCACAGGAGAGAAAATCACTCTCGGACCTGCCAAGAAAGGCTGGCTGGAGGGATGGGCGTTCTGGGGAGTCCAGGCCGCACTTCCAGCTGCATCCTGGGCATCTTTGTCGAGTTATTTATCATCTCAAGTTCTTCACATCATCATCACTAAACCACAAAAATTGACTTCCGATCCTGTTGCTTTCCATAACCGGGACCCAGGTTGATTTTTGCCTGCTTCTTTTTGGCGCTAGTCTTCATCATTTCTCTCTTTTTTTTTTTTTTGCGGTACGCGGGCCTCTCCTGTTGCGGAGCACAGGCTCCGGACGCGCAGGCCCAGCGACCATGGCTCACGGGCCCAGCCGCTCCGCGGCATGTGGGATCCTCCCGGACAGGGACACGAACCCGCGTCCCCTGCATTGGCAGGTGGACTCCCAACCACTGTGCCACCAGGGAAGCCCCTTCATCATTTCTTGATCGATCTCTGCCCTTTTCCCATCCTCTTCCTCACCAGGATGGGCCTCAGGCTCCCTTTCCACCCGAGCGTCCGGTGTCGTGCCCCGCTGTCCCCGGACAGCCTAGGGTGAGGCTTCCTTCTCTCTTGCTGTGAAGTCCTTCTCAAGACACCTTCCACCTTGAAGGGCATATGCTCTTCCGGCTGCCGTGTTAATATCTAAGCTCTACCTGCTCATCTTCCCAGATTGTCCACTCCAGCTGTGTTGGTTTATTTACTGCTTTGTCAGTTTCAGGTTTTTGTTTCTAATAATCTGTGCTTTGACCGTGCCTTTATTATTAAAAAAAATAAAGAACCAAAAAAACCTTCACATACAGGTATACCCACCTAATTCCAATATCTACCCTGCCTAAGTACCCCCCCCCCAGGTGGAAGGGCGTGGACCTGGACATGGATAGATGTTGGTTGGAAATTTCAGCTCCCTACTTGTCTATGTGTGACCTTCGGCAGGTTAAATGCAGATAGCAATTCAAAAAAGTAGGTGCTTGGGTTTTTTTAATGTTGATTGATTGATGTGGCAGCATCGGGTCTTAGTTGCGGCACGTGGGATCTTTGTTGTGGCATGCGGGCTTCTCTATAGTTGTGGTGCGAGGGCTCCAGAGCGGGTGGGTTCAGTAGTTGCAGCGTGCAGGCTTAGTTGCCCCGCGGCATGTGGGATCTTAGTTCCCTGACCAGGGATCGAACCTGCATCCCCTGCATTGGAAGGTGGATTCTTAACCACTGGACCACCAGGGAAGTCCCCAAAGAAGGTGTTTTTCGGATTTAATGATATCGTGTGTAGGCTTATTCCTCCCAATAAATATTAATGTCCTACCCTCTCTTGCACCAGTAATTGGCTGTACAGTTAATCTGACAGTTTGTCATGTACTGCTTTGCAGCGTCTGTTGTATTCTTATCTTGGATGGTTAAGTCTTAATTTGAAAATGTTAGTGCCAGTTCTACAAGTGGACTGGAGGCCTGGACCTTGCCTTAGTATTTCTTCGTCAGGGCCTTAATAAGAATGATTTCTTCATCAGGTATACAAGCACTTGGGAATCATCTGTGACAGTTTTACCTGTGAGTAGAAATATATAATTTTGAAAGCCAGGCCTTTTCTGCATAGAAAGGGTTAGTGGAGGCTCTTACTCTGGCAGTCTGAATGAAAGGAGGGACACATTTATGAGCCTTGGGACCCTAGCACTTAGAAGGAGGTGGTAGGGGATGAGCTGCCCGTGAAGGAAATGGAGAAGCAGAGCCAGGAGAGTGCCACGGGACAGATGGTGATGGCTTGCCAACACACGTCCTGGGAGGAATGCCTGAAACCAGCATCACCTCTGAAACCTCATAAGAAGCTTGAGTATTTATTCAGTAAATATGTATTAGTTGCCTATTGTGTGCCCCTTACCATCCTAGGCACCGGGAACTCAGTGGTGAGCAAAACAAAGACCCCTGCTTTCATGGAGTCTACATTCCGGTGGGGAAGACGAGAGATAAATGTATATCAAAAAGACAGAAATTATGTGTAACACGTCTCATGATGATAAGCATTTTAATTGAACTTTTCATTGCAACCCGTCCTCCACCAAACAGCACATTAAAGACAAAAGAAATGAATGGACACAGTGCAGCTGGTGCAGAGATGATCATGACTAGAAATACGTAAAGCCCGGGTTCTCCGAGGGAGCATCTTAAGGCCACCCAGCCGTATGTCAACAGCACGTGTGTGAAGATGACTCTGCTTGGCCCTCCTTTTGTCGTGTTGAATCCATATGGTCCCTTCTAAATTGGAAGAAGACATTCCAACCCAAGTAGGAGGATTCACTGACTTCACGGGAAATCAAATTCTCCTACCTTGAGTAGGTGCACCCTAGAACATGATTATAGGTATATATACATAATTTTTTACAGACCTGCTTTTTCCTTGCAGTGTCTTTCTGCGCCAATAAATGTATGGACCGAATACCTTGAGTGCTTCTCAAACGTTAACGTTCACATGAATCCTGTGATTCGGCAGATGGAGGGGGCAGTGCTGAGACTTTGCAAGTCTAACCTGCTCCCAGCTGATGCTGAGGCTGTGGTCACAGATTCCACTTCCTGTAGCAAAGGCTTTGACAACTGCAGAGTATTCTAATTTACCATAATTTACCAACAAATTTCCCTGCTGCTCGACACGTTAGATGTTTCAGTAGAGTTTACACTTTACTCTTTGCTCTTAGAATTGCTGTTAACATTCAGTTTTAGTTTTAATCTTAAATATCATTGGGAAAGTACACTTGGGGGGGGGAGTTTATCTTGTTTGATAACAGACCATAGGCGAGTCATGCACATTCCATTCAACGTGGGATGTTTCTTAAGGGCCTGCTGTGTGCCAAGCCCTATCCTAGGTGTTAGGGTTACAAAGATGAGCAAAGCCCCGGCCCTGCAGCTCAGTCCTCCAGGTGCTTGCAGAAAGGTAGAGGAGACCCCAAATGTACACAGAACATTTCAGTTCCTAAACAGGGATGGGGAAGTGCCCAGGGACGGTTATGGTGTTGAAAATGATCTTCACAGAGAAGGAGAAGGGTTTAAGGATGAAAGGAGACACTTCACCAGGCAGATCGTTGGTGGGGGGATTCCCACCGGGACTCCAGACGGAGCATGCATCTGTACAAAGGCACGGAGGCAACAATGTGGCACATCCAGGCTTCCAACAGTACTTCTTTGTGGCTAGAGTGTAACAGACAAGTTTGTCACCTGAAGTCATAGCACCTGAGATGAGCTGGGAGCCAGTAAGCAGATACATAGAAAGATGGCTTTGAAGGGACAAAACTGAGACAGGGGAGTCTGGGTAAGTGACCTCCACTAAGAGAATGCCCGTGGGCCCGGGAAGTTCAAGAAGGTATGATTGAGTGGCCCTGGGGATTGATTGAGCCTGGGGATGCCAGGGAGAAGTCTGGGGTCAACCTGCAGGTTTGGGCTTGGATGACTGAGTAGATGGTACAGCTACCAAATGATGTGAGAAAAGATTCTGCTTTGTGATTTTGTTTGAGGAGAAGATAGCAGGCAGGTCGTTAGCTAGACAGGTCTGAGCTGGGTGAGAGGCCTGCAGAGGGAGATGGATTTGGGGTCTGATCCCTTGAGGAGGTGAGTAAAAGGCAAGTGGTGAACCTTGTCGCGAATATACGTGAGCGAGGAGGAAATGGTGCTGAGGGTGGGAACCGGGACCCTGGAGTCCTGCACCGTGTGTAGGGGAGTTTACCATTGCAGAGGTCGGGAGGGAAGCGTGGTTCTAAGGCACCCAGCATGGTGCGCAGACCGAGTGAAGGAGCGGCTGGGCCGTCAGGGTGGGGAGGAGAGGCCGGTGAAGGAAGCTGGGCGTTTAGAAAGGGGTTGGGGAGAGAGAGACTGACCGGGACCTGACTGGGTGAGCGCAGGAGGGGCTTCGGGAGGATGCTGCCTCTCCAGAGATCCCCAGGAAGGGACATGGATAGGACTGAAGACAGGCCCCTAATGGGGCTGGAGCGGAAACCTGTGGCCAGAAATGAGAGTGCCTAAAGGATGCAGATGTCTTAAAGCCCTGTCAGATAGTTGTATAAAATGCCTGTCACTTCCCTCTCTGTGTAACAGTAGCAACAGCCAACACTGAGGTAGTGCTTCTTATGTGCAACCACCATTCCCACATGAATCCTGGGAGGTAGGTAATATTGGAAACTGAGCTACAAGAGTTAGAGTCAGTTGCCCCAGACTTCTCAGGTGGCAGGTGGAGGAGCTGAGCCTAGGGGTCTCTCCTGAGATCCCCTCCAGTGTGATAGGAAAAACAAAACAAAAACACAACTGTCTTTTTCTTTTCTTTTGTATCTGTCTCTCTTTTTTTTTTTGAGCGTTTGAATGATGCATGAGTGTGTTGTGCGGCAGTAGTGGTGAGAAGAGGAAGGAGTCCAGGACTGTAGACCCTCCTCTCACCTCCAGAGCCTCTTCCTGTTTGGTTCCACTTTCCTAAAAGTAGCAGAAGAGAGTCATCTGATGTCCCAGTCCGTATCCAGCAGGAAACCAGAAACCATAGAGATATGAAAGGCTGCCCCCTCCCTTTGCCTTCCAGTTTTCCACCCAGACGGCACACAATCACAGTTCCTCAGGAAGCTGGGTGGCAGAAGAGAGAGTCTGGGAATGCAGTTTGCAGGCTTGCAGCCTGAGTGGCAGAGCAGATGAGAAAGAGGGGGCAGAGTAGAGCCCAGAGCCCACAGCGCCATCCAGCGCGCCAGCCGTGGGCAAGGGTGGGATCCCGGTTCCAATACCACCGCCTGCTTTGTTCTTGGGAGGTCCACGCGGGTGTGAAGTGTCATTCTGGTCATAAAAACACGGGCATCATAGAATCTTCCTTTTTATAGATGCCCTGGTCATAGGCAGCCCCCTAGGACCCACCACTTGGCTGACTGTGCATCTAAGTAACCACGAAGTTGTGGTGATTGAAAACCTTCCAGGGTCTCAGTTGATCTCGCTTCTCCTTTAAGAATTCAGTAGATTCTTCAGCAGAGGTTTACTAGTGAGGCCCTTGGCTCAGTTTTTTGAAACTACTCAAATGGAGTGATGCAAGTCTATGAAAATTCTTGTCCTCTGGTGTTACACAGTTAAAACTGCAGTTGAGGGAGAGCGTTTACAGTAGCAAGAAATCAAATACTTGGATGTCAATTTGATAAAAGATTTTTTTTTCAAAGAAAATGGCACAGCACTAATGGGGGAAATGAAGTGAATAATGAGATATAACTTCCTCCTGGCTTCAAGACTAAGTATAGTAAAGACATTATTTCTTGAATTAATATGTAAATATCATAACACAATCCGTGCCTGTATTAGCTGGGATTTAATTAACAGTTGCTTCAACAAGATGGAGGTTTATTTCTCCGTCATGTAAGAGTCCAGAGGCAGGCAGTCTAAGGTTGATTGGCAGCTCTGTCCTTGGGGTGGTCCAGGGACCCGGGCCCCTTCTCTCTTGTTGCTCCTCCATCCCTTGGGTGACATGCTGTGTGGTCCAAAGTGGCTCATCAAGTGTCAGTATTTCAGCCAGCAGGAAGGGGGATAAAGGAGAAGAGGGCGTATGCCAAAGAAAGCACCCTGAAAGTTCTCCGGGTCACTTTTGCTTGTATCCCATTGACTAGAACGTAGTCACAAGGCTGTACTTAGCTCCAAGGGTGGCTGAGAAATGTCTTTTTTCTGGGAGGCCATGTGTCCAGCTAAAAATCCAGAGGAGAGAGGAAGGGGGAAACTGATATGAGGGGAGATGTTTTGATTTCTACTACAATACCCCTTGTAATATTGCTTAAAAATTGAAAATTTGAGAATAAAATTAATCCAGAAGAATAAGTAGGCAAGCATACCAGAGAACATATGTATTTTTTAAAGAAAACCTCTTTTAAAGTTGCCATTAAAATTTTTTTAAACTGCTGTGTTTTCTTTTTCTTTTTTTCTTAGTGTAAACCTCTTCCTGTTTTTCAATATACCGCTTTCTTTTTAAACTTTTATTATAGAAAATTTCAAATCGTTTTGAGAATTGTATAGTGAGCCCCATGTACCCATTGCCCAGATTCTACAGCAGTTTAAAGCTCAACTTGTGTCAGCTATTCCCACAAACACTTATCCCCTTCCTGGTTTTTTTTGAAGCAGATTTCATTTCTCCTGTTTCATCTGTAAATAGTTCCGTAAGTATCTCTAATAGTTAAAGACTCAACAAAAATTAGACTTTTACTTTTGGGATAGTTGTAGAGTCACATGCAGTTGTAAGAAATAACACAGATTACTCACTTTCCCCCCAATGGTAGCATCTTGCAAAACCGTAGAATAGCACAACTGGGATATTGACAGGGGTACAGTCAAGATACAGAATATTTCCATCACCAAAAGGACGCCTCCTGTTGCCCTTCCCTAGCCACTGCACCACCCCCTCCCTAACCCCTGACACCTAATCTGTTTACATTTCTGTAATTTTGTCATTTCAAGAATATTATATAAATGGAATCCTGCAACATGTAACCTTTTAGTATTGGCTCAGCATAATTGCCTCGAGATTCATCCAGTTGCGGGTATCAATCGGTCACTCATTTTTTTGGCTGAGTAGTATTTCATGGTATGGCTATACCACATCAAAGCTCTTTAGGAGGGCTTCCCTGGTGGCACAGTGGTTGAGAGTCCGCCTGCCGATGCAGGGGACACGGGTTCATGCCCCGGTCCGGGAAGATCCCACATGCCGTGGAGCGGCTGGGCCCGTGAGCCGTGGCCGCTGAGCCTGTGCGTCCAGAGCCTGTGCTCCGCAACGGGAGAGGCCACAACAGTGAGAGGCCCACGTACCGCAAAAAAAAAAAAAAAAAGCTCTTTAGGAAATTCCCTGGCGGTCCAGTGGTTAGGGCTCAGTGCTTTCACTGCCAAGGGCCCAGGTTCAGTCCCTGGTCGGGGAACTAAGATCCCGCAAGCTGTGCAGGGAGGCCAAGAAAAAAAAAAAAAGCTCTTTAAAAGCATAATCTGCTGAACTCACTTTCCTCTTTCCCTTCTCCTGCCCTCTCCTCTCTTCACAGCAATGCCAAGCCAGTACAACCGTGTGAAGCTGAAAAGCGGTTGCTCGCGGCCCTCCCTGCAATGGTACACCCGCGCTCAGAACAAGATGAGAAGACCCAGCTTGTTGTTAAAAGACATCCTCAAGTAAGCACGAGCCCTCGGGCCGCAAGACACCTTTGATTTGGGTCAACTGGGTAGAACTGGGGGAAAAATTCAGTGAGAACCCTGAAGATGGCTCTCATCCACGGTCACCCTTGTTCAGGATCATTTAAAGGCACATCTGGGTTTCCCTGGTGGCGCAGTGGTTGAGAGTCCACCTGCCGATGCAGGGGACACGGGTTCGTGCCCCGGTCCGGGAAGATCCCACATGCCACGGAGCAGCTGGCCCCGTGAGCCATGGCCGCTGAGCCTGCACGTCCAGAGCCTGTGCTCCGCAACGGGAGAGGCCACAACAGTGAGAGGCCCACGTACCGCAAAAAAAAAAAAAAAAAAAAAAAAAAAGAAATAAGGCACATCTGAGTCAAGGCTCAGACCACAGGTGCTGTGGGCTCCTGCATCAGGCTGTGCTTGGTGGCAGCACAGCACCAGCCCGGGAGTCTCCAGGCTCCACAGCTTCTAGTGCACAGCCCTTCCAGCTGCTGCCTAGTGCAAGAGGGCTATCCCCTTTACCTTTGCCATTTCCGGTGCATCTAAAAATGCAGTTAATTAAAGTCCCCTACAGGCATTTGAATAACATTGAATATCAAACACTAAACAGGATGAGAGGGGTACCAGCCAGGTCACCCGTACATCCTAGTAAGAGATAGAATTGTTTTTTTATTTTTTAAATATTTTATTACATTTATTTATTTAATTTTGGCCACTCGGCAAGGCTTGTGGGATCTCAGTTCCCCGACCGAGGACTGAACCCAGGCCACTGCAGTGAAAGCGCCAAATCCTAACCATTGGACCACCAGGGAACTCCCGAGATAGAATTGTTAAAGGAGGAACTTGTCAGTTTTACTTGGTACCAGCCAAACCAGGTGGTAAACTACCCTTTCTTTCATGCCGACAGGTAGAAATCCAACCCTGAAATCTAGCCTCCCACCTCATGTTACTAATTCGGGAGGTGTAGAAGAAGAAAGGTGGGAAAGGAAATGTATGTTAATAAACACTCAGATCATTTTCCATCTCCTTTTGTCATCAACCAGTAATTATCGAGGCCCCCGTATGCCTGGCGCCATGCTGGGTGCTGGCTGCATGGGAGATAGACCTGGGCCCCGTGCTGCCTACAGTATGGCTGAGACAGACTTGCGACCAGAAATTACAGAACAACGGAATCAGGGCTGTAGATTCTGGGCCTGCTTTTAACTTTTTCTTCCTTCCTTTTTTTTTTTCTTTTCTGGCCACACTGCACAGCTTGTGGGATCATAGTTCCCCGACCAGGGATTGAACCCGTGCTCCCTGCATCTAAAGCTCGGAGTTCTAACCACTGGACCGCCAGGGAATTCCCCCTTTTATTTCTTTTATAATCAAAATAAGGGAATTATTAATGCACTGAATATAATACCTTTTCTGGAACTGGAGAAAAGAATAGGTCATACTGCATTCACAAGATTCAAAAGATGTTAAAGGTACTCAGTAAAACATCTTCCCATCCCTGCTCCCCACATTTCCTCTTTCCACTTAAAGATGACCAATATTAGCAGTCTTGTGTATGTAAGAAATACTGTGTGTGTGTATTCCCCTCCCCCGACCGTCTCTTTTTTATGCAAATGGTTTCATCCCATTCACTTAGCATTGTATTTGATCCCAGAGAAGAATTAAGATGCTTGTCCAAGTTTTCATGGTAGAGTCTATTGAAATGAGAATCAAGAAGTCTTGAAAACACTTCCTAGCAATACTTTTCTTGCAACATAATCCTCAAATATTAAGAACTATTTAGCATCTATGGTATACTATGCTAAATGCTATATATATATATATTTTTTTTAATTAATTAATTTATTTATTTGGTCGCACCGGGTCTTCTCTGTGGCAGGTGGGCTCCTTAGTTGTGGCTCACCGGCTCCTCAGTTGTGGCGCGTGGACTCCTTAGTTGTAGAGCGAACTCTTAATGCGGCATGCATGTGAGATCTAGTTCCCTCACCAGGGATTGAACCCGGGCCCCATGCATTGGGGGCGCAGAATCTTAACCACTGCGCCACCAGGGAAGTCCCAAGACTGACTTTTTCTTTCTTTTTTTTAATTGAGGCAAGGAATATGACTTTATTCCGAAAGCCAGGCATCAGAGAAGATGGCAGACTAAAGTCTCAAAATAACCATCTTCAGGACTGACTATTTTAAAGTGGCAAAAAATTGAAGCTGAGATTCTGTCGTTCAAAATTTATTGCTTAGTTTTTTTTTTAAGTCCAGTAATCTATATTGTGATTCAGATTTTATTGCAGTACCTTTGCAGAAAAATGTCTTTTCTATATTTGCTTATAACAAAGACAGTCATAAATGACTTATCTTGTTAGAAAAATAAGAAATGCTGCCTTAAGTTAAGAGGTCTTCTTAAAGACTGTACTTTTATGCTGTGTGGCAGGCAGACTCTATTTGGGTTAGGTTTTCAGTTATTTCACATGATCTCTCTTGATTATCACATGACGACGTCATTATACGTAACTGATTTTTTTTTTTTCTAGGTGTACATTGCTTGTGTTTGGAGTGTGGATCCTTTATATCCTCAAGTTAAATTATACTACTGAAGAATGTGACATGAAAAAAATGCACTATGTGGACCCCAACCGCATAAAGGTTAGATATTCCATCAGTGTGGTTTCAATTAGAATATTTCCAAGTGTACACTTAAATAGTAATATTGTCTCTCAAGTGTTATAAATAAACGTTCATGAAAGTTATAAACAGAAGGGAAAACACTTAACCTTAGCACTTCAAAAGGCCCGCCTAACACTCACTGCTCTTCCCCCATTTACTGAAGTCGTGGGGTGAGGTGAGTTCCATTTGACCCTGTAGGGCACCTGTCATGGAGTTAATATACCATGACGATGCTAGCGTACCTGTTCTTAAAGCAGATCAGGAAGAAATTCTTTTAGTATCATTTGTCATTTCTGTGTTTTATTTTTCGTTTTAATGATTTCACATTGTATTTCAAGATTTTTCCTTCAATGTATATTTATTTTTTTAATCAGTTGACATATTAAATCCTGATTTCACTGATTGTTTGAGTTGTAAATTATCTGATACTGTTGAGCCTTGGACAAAAGACAGGTGATTTTAAGTAAAGTAGCATGGTAATAATGATAACCGACATGTATGGCTGCTTTACATATATTATCTCATTTAGTGATCATCATGACTGAGAGATATCCCAGGGTTCTCTGCATCTTACAGATGATGGCCTGGGAGGTTAAGCTGCTGGCCCAAGTTCACACCTAGTTTAGTTAACTGTTTTAGTTAATCTAGTTTAGTATATACTGTGTAGCTGTTCTGAAAATGCTTTAGCAATAGAAACTCATTGAACCCTCATAACAGTCCTGGGGATACAGCTGCTGTTATTATCCCCACGTCATAGATGAGTATAGGGAAGAACCTTAAGTAACCTGTCTAAGGTTATCTCAGCAAGTAAGTGGTGGTGTGAAGGCTTGGACCCAGCAGTGTGGTTTCAGAGTCCCGTCTCCTGATGACTCTGCTCTCTGCTGGGGTAGGGAGCGTCCACCGAGAGGAAGCCAGAAGTTATAGGTGGCATGATGCAGAGGAGAGAGCTCAAACTTCTGACCTGGATTCAAATCTAAATGCCACTTCGTAACAGTGAGACCCGAGGCAAGTGACTGAGTCGTTTGGAGTCCCAGTTTCCTCAGCTGTGAGGTGTAGATAACAACGTCTGTGCAATGGGATGGTCATCCAAGTGCAGTAAGCTAGTATGCACAAAGCTCCTTTTCTAGGCCTGGTTTTTATTCACGCGTTTCTCTTCTGTATATGCTTTGAAGTACCTCACATTTTTCATAGTACAGACAGGTATAAACATGTAAATGGAAAGAGTGTATTGTAGTTAATACAGGCACAGCTTGGCCTGTGCAGAATCCTTGTGTCTCAGGGGTGTTGCTGATCACGGGGCCTTCCTCCCCTGCTGTTTCTGTCCCTCAGACGTTGGCCGACTCAGTTCATCTCGGCAGCGTTAGCCCCTCCGCTCTGCTGGAGCAGGATGTGGTCCCGCATCATCCACTCGGGCTTTCCCTCCCGAACGGCTGGCCTTGCAGACGTTCCCAAATCCCTTTCAATTCCAAGGCCTTCCACAGCTCGCTTGGATAAACTTTGCAGACATCCTGTCTCTGTTTTTTTGTCTCCTGGAAAAACCCTGAAATGCTGACACTTGACACTGTGATATACGATTGCTGGCATCTGTGAACTCGTCCCTTTGCTACACTTCTCCACATTCTCTGCGCGTCCCCTCTGTCCTGTCCATTTCATTCATCAGGCCGTTGACCTCCTGACCAACAACAGAGATCATTGCTCTCGAGTCTGGGTTAATTGAGGAGAGATGTGAGCTCTCTGTGCAAGAGTAGAGCACCGGGTGTACTTGTGAGACGGATGGAGAAGATGTGGTTTGCTAACACCTTGGGTGAAATCAACTTAGTGGTTTTCGTGCCTGGCCAGCGCTGTCTGCGTCAACTGCTGTGACAGCCTACAGCTGTTTTCTTTTTAGCTACGTTAATAGGCCAGTGGTGGTCTGCTCGAACCTGCCGTGTTCAGACAAGTGCCCTGGTCATTATGGCTCCTCAAGTTTCCCCTAAGGAATTCTAGTGACTTTTAAAATTTGTTCGGCCCCACCTCGTGGCTTGCGGGATCTTAGTTCCTCAACCCAGGATTGAACCCGGGCCCCAGCAGTGAAAGCGCCAAGCCCTAACCACTGGATCTCCAGGGAATTCCCTAGTGATTTCTGAGAAGGACCAGAGAAGAGATTCTAGACCTTGTCCCCGAGGAACCTTTGAAGGGATGGGAACATTTGCATAGAGAAGACCAGTGCAGGACACATGGCAGCTCCTGCCAACAAGCCAGAGGCCTGGCCCGGGGGAGAGTCAGCCTGCTCTGGTGGCCTCACTGGAAGAACTTTGGGTCAAGGGTGACAGCCAAGCCGAAAGGAGAAGGGTTTGATGGTCCACAACGTCCAAAGATGGAAAAACTGAGCTACCTTTGTGGCGAATCTCTGGAGGTCTTTGACCAAAGCCAGGTTAACTATTTTGGGGTAGAACTCAGGCATCAGACAGCTGGTGGCTCAAGGGCCTTGTGACCCCTTCCAGCCCTGGAATTCCGTGGTTCACTGTAATCGTCTAGTACCTGGCTGAAAAGTGTAGGCTGGTTTCGTAACCTGGGTTCTTCCTATTCTGAATGAGCTTCCTTCTTCCTCATTATGGTTTTGATCTGATAACTAATGATGTTGACCATCTTTTCATGTACTCATTGGCCATTTGTAGGTCTTCTAAGGAGAGATGTCTATTCAGATTCTTTGCCCAATTTTTAATTGGCCTGTCTTTTTATTATTGAGCTGTTTAAGTGTTCTCTGTATATTCTAGATACCAGTTCCTTATCAGTTATATGATTTGCAGCTATCTTTTTCCCATTCTGTGGGTGGTCTTTTTACTTTTTTTTGATGGTATCATTTTTAGCACACAAGTTTCTAATTTTGATGAAGTCCGGTTTATCTACTTTTCATTTTGTTCCTTGTGCTTTTGATGTCATATCTAAGAAACCATTGCCTAATGTTTTCTTCTAAAAGTTTTCTAGTTGTAGCTCTTATATGTAGGCCTTTGATGCACTTTTGAGCTACTTTTTATATATGGTGTGAAGTCAGGGTCCAGCTTCATTCTTTTGCTTGTGGCTTTCCAGTTGTCCCAGTATCTTTGTTGAACACTTTTCTCTGTGTTTGCTGCGTTGTGTGTTTTTTTTTAATGTATTTTATTGAAGTAGAGTTGATTTACAATGTTGTGTTAATTTCCGCTGTATGGCAAAGTGATTCAGTTTTCTATATTTTATATATACACATGCACACACGCATATATTCTTTTTCATATTTTCCATTATGGTTTATCCCAGGATATTGAATATAGTTCCTTGTGCTCTACAGTAGGACCTTGTTGTTTATCCATTCTCTCTGTAATAGTTTGTATTTGCTGCATTCTTTCTTCTCTGCCTGGAGCCCTTCCTTTGCCTCTCTGTTATTCATCTTTTACATCAAATCGCAGCTCAGGGGTTACTTTTTCTAAGATCCTTCTCCGATCACCCTTCCCTCTTGTCTTCTAGGAACCCCCTCATACCTTAATCTTGACAGTTATCACTGTGGTACCTTAACTGTTTTGTCTTCCCCACTTGTCCTCCAGGCAAGCCCTTGGGAGATAGGGATTGTGGGATAACATTTTACATTAACGAATATGTACTTATATGTATTGAACTCCAGAGGGAGGAGAGATATTACTCAAACCTCAGCACGGTGTCTCATCTTTGAACTCCAGATTGTACAGAAAATCCACAGTTAAATTTTAACAGGCAATTCTTTGAGGACTTTCCGTTATGTACATTAAGTTTAATATCCCTTTGAGGAATAGGACAGATACCTCCTATCCAACTCTTCATATCCCCCAGTAAACAGGCTCTCCCTTCTCTTTCCCCCTAAACCATGGCATGTGAGTCCCCCCCTTTAGGCTGGTGGGACCAGTTTTAAACCTAAGTTCACTGCTGGGCCAGTAACAGCCTCTCATGGGTGCTAGTGCCCTGTCCCGACTGGCTCCAGTAAGGATTCCTAACTCGTCCCTGATGGGGAGATGGAAGGACCTGATGAGTGAGATCAGCCTCCCAAGCCCCACTGCCTGCGTGGAGAAGGGGTGACGGCTGCCTGAAGGAAGGACACTACGGTTCCCGAAGAGGAAGGAACAGGAAATGGAGACCCAGGAGGTAGCCCACGGTGACCGCCACGTCAACCCATTTCCGAAAGACTTCTAAAAGATCATTATTTTTTCCAATTAGAAAGTCCCCCGTAATGGTGCGGAAAGAAGGAGGAATGGGGACACGGTTAAGTCAAACAGGTTTGTGCAAGTCTCCATTCAGAAATTAATGAAGTAGAAAGTGAAAGCCTGCTCTAACGGTGGTGGAATGAGGGGTGTCTTTTATTCTATTGCTTGAGACTTTTTTTAAAAAATGTAGCTTTTTAGCACTATTGACTCTGTCAGATTGCCCTGCTTTTCACAGTGGTCGTGACAGCGTGTGCAGAAAGCCCATGTCTCAGCGGGCTTTGCAAAGTAGAGGAACAGCAAGAGGTAGATACTGCTGAGGATTTGGGGTGGGGAGTAGCAGGATATGAGACTGAAAATGAGACAGGGCCAGAGCGTGAGAGGCCTTGAATGCCACACTGAGCAGTTCCTAACTTCGATATCTGGTCACACATCCCTAAACCAGAAGAGAAATCCTCTCTCAAATCCCCAGAATAGAGGAAGTAGCCAGCAAGCCGGCTGGTATGAAGGGCTGGGAGATGGTGTTCAGCATGAGCTCTCTACAAAGAAAACCCTGCCTCCAGGCTTCGGTGGAGATTGATCCTTACTACCAAGAGAGTTTGGACGAATCTGAATGATTGTGGCTGTGTATTAGCAGAAGAGGGTCTCAGGGTCGTGAGAGTGGGGCCCTGTGAGCTTTGTTGATGACATTCAACAACTTGCAAGGTCAATAACCCTGCTGGACTCTGAACACCTGGTTGCATTCTGCCTGCATGTATACAGCGGAAGTGTGGCCATGTTTGCTGTGGGTTTTATATTTTCTATTTAAAGATGTCCCCGAACGTGCCATTTGTGCAAAAAGACGAACAGTGGTCTCTGCAGGGATGCTTGGATAGTTTGAATGTGGTGCAGATGTGAAATTGCACTTAAAAGATGTGTGAAGGGCTTCCCTGGTGGCGCAGTGGTTGGGAGTCAGCCTGCCGGTGCAGGGGACACGGGTTCGTGCCCCGGTCCGGGAGGATCCCACGTGCCGCGGAGCGGCCGCTGAGCCTGCGCGTCCGGAGCCTGTTGCTCCGCAACGGGAGAGGCCACAACAGTGAGAGGCCCGCGTACCGAAAAAAAAAAAAAAGATGTGTGAAGAGAGACAAGAGCGCATTCACATCAGTTTAGGTTCAGACCTCATGGTAGCACCAGTTTGAACTTGGCCTTCTCTCAGGAACTAAAGACCACACATCGCCCTGGGGACTGCATCCTGGGCTGTGTGGTTCATCATGGCCAAGTTTACGTCTTCACCGTGACTCCATAGACCTACACTCACGTATCCAAAGTCAGCAGAGTAGGACTCCCCTGGCGGCCCAGTGGTTAAGACTCCGCGTTCCCAGCGCAGGGGGCACGGGTTCGACCCTAGGTCGGGGAACTAAGATCCTGCAAGCAGTGCAGTGTGGCCCAAAAAAAAAAAAAAAAGTAAGCAGAGTAACCCTGGGCTGAGTTAAATCAGTCCAGACATTCACACTTCCAAACCGATCCCTTTCTCTCCTGGGTCCTGCTCTTGCTTTTCCCAGACCATCCTTCAGTGGCCTCATACAGGTGAGGAAACTGAAGCCTTGAAAAGCCTTAAAGTTCATGCTTTAACCAAGTTTACACTACTGTTAAAGAGATCCGAAACTGGGTCTAGATCCAGATCGTCTGATTGTTTTCTTCTTAACCGTGTATTGTGATAAAATATACATACCATAAGACTTTCACCTTTTAAGCATCCAGTTGGAGGAGTGTTAGTAAATTTATAGTTAAACTTACACCGTCACCACAATCCTATTTAGAACATTTCAGCACACAAGTTAGTTCCCTCCCACCCCTTCTGTGGTCAGTCGCTACCCTCAACTACCAGCCTGAGGCAACCATTGGCCGGTTGAGATTTTACTGTGCTATTCCCTCTGTGACTTGTTTATTCAGATTTTTCTGCTTTTAACCAGGTACAGACAACCATGTCTGTAACCAAGTTACAGACAGCTAACTCACGGAAGTTAAACCAGAGTTTACAAACGTGGGAATGAAAGTGTCGTTGCATAAGTCATACCCTCGGTTCATGTGGTCCGTGGCGGAGTTGGGCTCCTACCCAGGTCCAGTCAGCTCCAGGCCCCAAACTCTCCTTCATCCCACATGCTGTGCCCTGTCCTGGGTTTAAATCAATAAATAAAAGAACACATTGCCTTTTACTAAGAATTATGCCACTTACCTATATTTCTGAGAAGGATTGTCCTAAAAATTATGGGGTAGAAATGAAAATGGAGATTTTTACTGAGGAAAATTCATTTTTTAATATCCTTCAGGGAATTCTCACATTGTGGTTTTCCACGGCACATCGCCACATCAGTGACAACTGAAACTGCCTGATGTCTGTTTATTCTCAATTGTGGGCAGCCAGCAAGCTCAGCCTTGAAGCCTTTCAAAAAATGAAGCTCTTGTGTCCATGCCTCGATTTGGGAGAAGAGGGGTTCCTGTATCTTTGGGGAGGTCACCAGTCCTCTGGTTCCCAGTGGTTCTCATCCGAGACGGATGCCATCCGGACCCCACTGCGTCCTTCCTCTCCAGCCTGCTCTGGCTCCCAGGTTTGGCACTGTCTGCAGTGGAGAAGAGGAAGGTCGAGATGCTTGCGGTCATGACCGCAGCTCCACAAGGCGAGCTGTCCTCCCGAGGCATTTTTCTTCTGAGCTTTGAAGCCTGAAGGAGGAAGGAGGGAGGCTGAGACACTTCTGGGGCGTGTTACATGTTTAAACAAGTTGAAACAAGAGAAGAAAAGGAATTGCTGTGGCTTTGGCCATTTCCAGTGGCATTTAGAACATTGTCCCTGGGATTGATTTATTGCACCTGCGGAGGGACGGGAGGGGTCACCATCAGAAGATGCTCTTTCCACAGTCTAGAAAATTAAGTTTGAAGCCTGAGATGGAACTCTTTGCCAGAATGGAAATGGAATGAAATGTCACTCCTTCCAAATGAAACTAGAAAATTTGGCGCCCAAGAGAGTCGTGCTCCAGCGTCTGGCTCCATCACCTAACCTCTCTTTCCAGTCCTGAGTCAGTCACTAAGCTTCTGTCTCTTGGCACTTCTCAGATGTTCATTTCTATCCCAGGAGATTTGTAAAACAAGATGCTTGGGATGTCCTTCCATAGTGAAGAATTAGACCTTTTGTTCTCTAAAAACTTGTTCACAACCCTCAGGCCCGGGGTGTAGAGACAAGTATGGATAGTACATGTGGCTCCTCTGCTTGCCCTGCCCCCCAGTTGGGCATTAAGTGCCTGTAGGTGCAGAGTGTCACCAACCTGGAGGCCTGGTCAGGGCGAGCCCTCCACTCGGGCTGTTCTGGGTTACCACCGATTCCTCGCGAAGATGCTAATTCGCTAGGTATCAGTGGTGTATCAGAATATGTATCAGTGGTGGTGTTTGTCACCTGCTCTCTATGGGCAGAGGCTGGGATTGTAGGGGTTTGGGAGGTGATCAGGCGACGTGAGCCTGCCAGCTCAGCCCTCTTCCTGGGTGTGCCACCTGGAACCCACAAAGCGAAGACGCTCAGGACCGTCCTGCGAGGTGTCCTAGCTGTCGTGCCGGTGACCTCAGACAGTGACCTTACGTCGTGTCGGCGGCATCTTCTGAGGCTCACAGAAAATCCATTCCCTTCTTCAGACATGGGGCCAGACTCTTAAGATGTAGACAGCGTGCTTTTCCCAGTACTAAGAACTTTTTGAAGCTGTAATTTAAAGAAAAGGGAGTGGGGTTCTCCTGCAGTAAGATTATTATTTCTACAATAATTTTATTATACAAAAATCAGACAAGACTTTGAGGAAAAACATAGTTGAGACAAACATTTAAAACTGTATATGGCAATAATAATCCTCATAATAGTACTGACACAGTTCAAAAGACATATTCAATCCTAAAAATAAATATCCCAGCAAATAAAATAGAGGAACACACACACGCACGCACGCACGCAGCTTGGTGGGAGGAGGAATAAGACTGCTGCATGTGGCGATGAGGACAGAAAGCACAGTGATGCTGCCAGATGATCCCGAGGCAGCATTTGGCCAGACTGAGCCCAGGGGCAGACTGTGGGGCAAGTGGGTGTCTGTCCCTTGTTTCTCCGTGTCTTGCTGTGTTCAGCCGGGCTAGTGTACTTGGCCTTCAACAGTCATTTCTTGTTGATGCAAAATATTAACGTGCAGGGAAGACGGTATACAAAACCAAGGCAACTTCTTTGTTGACCGGACACCGTGGCAGGTTACACCTGGTTCCCATTCCAGACTGTGTGAAGCTCATTACTCCATCTGATAAATAAGTCTGTTTCTCATCCAACTAGATAGGAACCTGAAATAGGAAATCTTTTTCTCTTTTGGCTGTGCTGCACAGCATGTGGGATCTTAGTTCCCTGACCAGGGGTTAAACCCATGCCCCCTGCATTGGGAGCTCGGAGTCTTAACCACAGGACCACCAGTAAAGTCCCGGAAATCATTTTTTTTAATTGTGTTTAAAAAAGAAACCCACATAAAATTTACCGTCTTCATTATTTTTAAATGCATAGTTTGGCCCTGTTAAGTATATTCACATTGTTGTGAAACAGATTTCTGGAACATTTTCATCTTGCAGAACTGAAACTCTACCCATTAAACAGCAGTTCCCCACTTCGCCTCCCCGCTAGCCCCTGGTAACTACTGTTCTTCCTATTTCTACGAATTTGACTGTGTTAGATACCGTCTATAAATGGAGTCCTACAGTATTTGTCTTTTTGTGGCTGGCTTATTTCACTGAGTATAATGTCCTCAAGGTTCATCCATGTTGTAGCGCATGTAAGGATTTTTTTGTGTGTGTGGCCACACCACGCGATTTGTGGGATCTTAGTTCCCCGACCAGGGATCGAACCCAGGCCTTCGGCATTGGAAGCACAGAGTCCTAACCACTGGACCACCAGGGAATTCCCATGTCAGGATTTTATGAAACATGAAATCTTAAACACCTCAAATTTGAACAGCTTAAACACCTCAAAATTTCTTCAAAATTTATTTGTTCAAAATTTATTTGAAAATTTGTTCAGATTTGTTCAAATCTTGTTCAAAATTTATTTGAACACCCCGAATTTATTTGAACAGCTTAGGCTGGGAGGGTAGGAGGTGGGGGTCCTTCCTGTTCTACTTGTGCCATGAAATAAATACCCTTGTTGAGTTTGTCTCCTTGTCATGTGCTTCTCCCAGGTTTCCCCCTCAAGTTTCTAGCATAAATTAACTCTTTAAAGCAGATTCTTGTTGTTGTTGTTTTTTAAAATTTATTTATTTGCTTTTGGCTGCGTTGGGTCTTTGTTGCTGCGCGCGGGCTAGAGGGGGGCTACTCTTCATTGCGGTGCGAGGACTTCTCATTGCGGTGGCTCCTCTGGTTGCAGAGCACGGGCTCTAGGCGCATGGGCTTCGGTAGTTGTGGCATGTGGGCTCAGTGGTTGTGGCGCGTGGGCTCAGTAGTTGTGGATCAAGGACCCTAGAGCACAGGATCAGTAGTTGTGGTGCACGGGCTTAGTTGCTCTGCAGCATGTGGGATCTTCCCGGACCAGGGCTCGAACCCGTGTCCCCTGCGTCGGCAGGTGGATTCTTAACCACTGCGCCACCAGGGAAGCCCCCTAAAGCAGACGTTTTGTGTTACAAGACAGTCATCCACAAGGGAGCTACACCAAACATGGCAGGACAAAGCGTCACCTGTCAGAGTATATTTCTGATGCCTGAGAGCCTTTGAAACTCAGGTCTGTGCTTCATTCCAGAGAGCCCAGCAATATGCCCAGGAAGTCCTGCAGAAGGAATGCCGGCCCCAGTTCGCCAAGAGGTCGATGGTGCAGCTCTTCAGGCGCAGGTACACCTTGGACCTGCCACCTTTCGTGACGAAGGCCCCCGCAGGGAGTGAGGCCGAGTACAAGTATGACCCTCCTTTTGGATTCCGCACGTTCTCCGAGAAAGTCCAGACCCTCTTGGAACTCTTGCCCGAGCATGACTTCCCTGCACACTTGAAAGCCAAGAGCTGCAGGCGTTGTGTGGTCATTGGAAGTGGTGGAATCCTCCACGGACTAGAGCTGGGCCAGGCCCTGAACCAGTTCGATGTTGTGATAAGGTACGTTGGCTTTCAGACCATCCTCTCCCCTCTGGACTTTAGTTCTCTGCTGTGGGTCAGGGCAGCACCAAAAACAGGAGGGACCCAGGCAGCCCTACATGTCCCTGCCTGCAGGGGACTCACTGTTTGAGAAGTGGAAACAAAGACATGAAAGGATTGGACGCCCCAAACTGTGCAGTACTGACCCTAATTTTGGTAAAAACCCTTTCAGAGGAGGTGAAGGTTGGAAGGATCGGTAGATTCAGATAAGCCAGCAAAGGTGGAAGGCTGTGCTAGGCAGGGCCCAGAGGAGGATGCAGTGCAGGGAGCTTGAGTCAGTGGGACGCCCGGCTTCTGGGAGCAGGGCTTGGGGTAGGTGAGCCCTGGAAGGTGGCACCGGTTGGGACCAGAAAGCACACAGAGGTGTTTGAAAGCCACATAACAGGCAATAGGCAGTCATCCTACGTTACAGGAGTTTCTGACAGTTTGACAGTCATGTCAGGGGACGCCAAGATTTCTAGTCTGGGGTCTGAGACGTTAGTGGGACCGCTGTCAGAAACGGAGGAGTTGAGGAAAATCTCTGGCTAGTGAGGGAGGATGACAAGATCCATCTCAGGTATTTTGAGCCTGAAAGTGGTGCTATATCCACATAATGCCTTTATCCCCAGTAGCTGTGATCTCGGGCAAGTTTCCTTGCTGCCCTGTGCCTCCGTTTCCTCATCTGTAAATGGGGGCAGTGGTGGCACAGGCCTTACAGGGTTACTGTGACAACAAAGTGAGTTACATCTGGATGTAAAGCACTTGGAACAGTGTCAGAATTGGGGTAGGTGCTTAGTACATGTTAGTAGCTATTTTGGGAGAATGCGTAGGGAGCTAAGGAGGAAAGGACACGGGGCGTAAGATGTTTGTAGGAAAGAACCAGACTTTTGTAAGGGCCAAGAGATAGAAGAAACAAGTAAGAACTACGTCTTAAGGTGAAAGGTGGGAAGTGACGGTGTGGGAGTGGGGTTGTGGACTTTGGTGGGGTGAAGGAGGAGGGAACTGCTTCCTCTCTCTGGGTGCTTCCTGTGTGCCCGACACTGTCACGTGCCCTGGATGTTCTCGTTCCATAGTGAAGCCATCCCCTTAGCCAGTGTCAGGCATGAGGACACAGAGACACTGTAGGGCACAGAGTCCAGGCCAGAGCCTAGCATTCCGAATGCACGGTTTTGAGGCTTCCAGAACCTCACCCTGACTCTATGTGAGCAGCTGAATGATCAGCTGTGCACAGGCAGCACTGGGGGAGGCAGACAGGACCCCATATGCCCTTCTAATGGTGTACGACCGATATACGGGAGGAGAAGAGGTAAGAAACTGGGGTGCGCACTCCAGTCCAGAGGAGAGATGCAGTGGAAGAGAAGGGCGGCCTTGAGCTGACCTTGAAGAATGGTGGCATTTAGCCCTTTAGGAAGGAGGTGGCCAGGATATCTGGATGGGGAACCTTACCTGGCAGGAGGAACGAGGGCCTGGGAGAGGGAAGGGGGGCTGGGCAGGTGGCTCGATGCCCAGTGATGGGGAGGCCAGACTGGACAGCATGGACTTCAGGCACAGGCACTGGGGACCACAGAGCACCGGGGAACAAGGAAGGGGACTTAGACTGATTATGACGGAGATCAGTTGAAGAACTTTTTTGGGGTAACTTTTATTTTATTTATGTATTTTTAAAATTAATTTTTATTGGAGTATAGTTGATTTCCAATGCCATGATAGTTTCTGCTGTACAGCAAAGCGAATCAGCTGTGTGTGTATATATATATATATATCCAGTCTTGTAGATCCTTTTCCCATACAGGTCATTACAGAGTACTGAGTAGAGTTCCCTGTGCTCTACAGTCGGTCCCTATTAGTTACCTGTTTTATATATCGTAGTATGTCTATGTCAATCCTAGTCTCCCAATTTACCTCTCCCCTCCCCGGGGTAACTTTTAGGTTTAAAGCAATTCTGAACTTAACAGGAAAGTTGCAAGAGTAGTACAAAGAACTCCCATTCACCCTTTTCCCAGATTCCTCAGTTGATAACGCTGTATCACACTGGCTTTATAATTTTCTCTCTTTATATACTATTATTCTTTTCTGAACCCTTTGAGAGTTAGTTGCAAATCTCAAACTCCTTCTTTACCCCTAAATACTTCAGTGTGCCTTTCTTAAGAACAAGGGCATTCTCTTATAGAACTGCATGACGATATTCAGAATTAGGGAATTAACACTGATGCAGTACAGACCTTAGCTACAGTCCTTATTCAGACTTCACCAGTTATTCCAGTCGTGTCCATTATTTAAAAAGAAAGGAAAGGAGGGCTTCGCTGGTGGCACAGTGGTTAAGAATCCGCCTCCAAGGCAGGGGACACGGGTTCAAGCCCTGGTCCAGGAAGATCCCACATACCGCAGAGCAACGAAGCCCGTGCGCCACAACTACTGAGCCCACGTGCCACAGCTACTGAAGCCTGCGCACCTAGAGCCCTTGCTCCACAGCAAGAGAAGCCACCGCAATGAGAAGCTCGTGCACCGCAACAAAGAGTAGCCCCCTGCTCGCCACAACTAGAGAAAGCCTGTGTGCTGCAACGAAGACCAAAAGAATGCAGCCAAAAATAAATAAATAATAAAATAGAAAGAAAGGAAAAGAAAAAGAAAATACCTGTGCATTTAGTTGTAGTGTCTAATAATACCTTTTTTTTTTTTTTTTTTTTGTGGTACGGGCCTCTCCCTTGCGGAGCACAGGCTCCGGACGCGCAGGCTCAGCGGCCATGGCCCACAGGCTCAGCCGCTCCGCGGCATGTGGGATCCTCCGGGATCGGGGCCACGAACCCGTGTACCCTGCATCGGCAGGCGGACTCTCAACCACTGCGCCACCAGGGAAGCCCTAATAATAGCTTTTAATAATCCAGGAGTTAGGTATCTGAGATCTGGAAGAGGAAGTGACGGTGGAATAGAAAAGAAAGGTTTGTACAGGTGTGATAATGCAGGGAAAGAACCAAACAGACTTTTTTTGAGATTTCAAAATTGTGTACCTGTGTGAGTGGTACTGCTTTGGGAAGAATTCTTAGCATTTTCCCCAGAGCATCCACCCTGGCAAAGCCTTCATTGATCTAAAAGTTCTAAGTGCCCCAAATTCCTGCTTTAATTTAAGACCAGGTTGCACTTGGACCCAGTGCCCTCCTCGGGCCCAACCCTGTCTATATATAACTATGGTTTTTGTCTGCCTTTCCCCGGTTTTTAGGTTTTCTTTTTTGATTACCTTTTTGAAATTCTGGCAAGAACCACTAATATCTAAGCTCAATGGGAAGCTTTCAAGGAAACATTACTAGTGCCCAGAGTGTAATGTGTTTGGGTTGGCTTAAAGTGGCAGGACTAGATGGAATTGCTTGTCATTCGGAAATTGGATACGGGAGTCTCTTGCAGACTGAAGACTGCGTTCATCAAGCACCTGGAAGGGGCAGAGCTGAGGGATGACAAGGCTGCTGGGAGGGGTGCCCTACCCCCCAACCACACCCTCATTCCCAGTCCTAAAAAAATGTGGAAAACACGCTGCAGGAATTTGGCATGTGTTAAAGTGGTTAATGTCAGTTTATCTTTGTCCTTTTTACTTAAATAGGTTAAACAGTGCACCGGTTGAAGGATATTCAGAGCATGTTGGAAATAAAACTACTATAAGGATGACTTATCCAGAGGGTGCACCACTGTCTGACCTTGAATATTATTCCAATGACTTGTTTGTTGCTGTTTTATTTAAGAGTGTTGACTTCAACTGGCTTCAGGCGATGGTCAAAAATGAAACCCTGGTAAGCACTAGAAATTCAGCCATCAGATATGCCTCCGTAAAAAGCGAAGGGGTCTCTGATTGGAATTAACAGGTTTTTATTTTTAAACTAACACACATGCTTTCAAATAAACACTCCCTTTGTAGAAGCCCCTCAGAACTTCCCCTGGAAATTGCTTTCAGAGCTTGACTGAGTCACATGTGGAAACTGGGATCATTACTTAGTGGAAATAACAAGCTTGGGACCAAAATGGCTATTATTGAGGTTGACCACCCACCTCATTCACCAGACATGAATTTACAGGGCTTCTGACTATTTTCAGAAATTAGTTTTATGTGCATGAATATAAACCATTATTGAGGCAATTCAGAAGAATATACATAAATTCTCCGAAGAGTATTTTCAAAGAGATTCTCCAAAAATGCTTTGGTGGTGTTCTTTTTTTTTCTTTTTTTAATGTTTATTTATTTGGCCGCGCTGGGTGTTAGTTGTGGCAGGCGGGCTCCTTAGTTGCGGCATGCAAACTCTTAGTTGCGGCATGCCTGTGGGATCTAGTTCCCTGACCCAGGGATTGAACCCGGGCCCCCTGCATGGGGAGCGCGGCGTCTTATGCAGTGCGCCACCGGGGAAGCCCCTGGTGGTGCTCTCGCTGGAGTCAATTCACGGCGTTCCAGAGGGGCAGATGTGGAGGAGATGGCCCCAACTTGGTCATATTCCTTTTCTTTGTCTTTACAATAATCTATCACCTTACTTTATAGTCCCCCAGCCCCCCACATTATGTTGAAATGAATTCCAGAGGTCAGCTGTTAAGCAGTGTGTGTGCGTTTATATGCACTTGCACAAACCAGCTGACTGTAAAGTTCACAGGACATATCAGACTTTTCACAGAAGCTTCACGTGCTGGAGAATTTGTATCTCCAAAGCTCGATTCCGTACAGGTTACTGTGGTCCTCTGGATTTTCTCTTGGGTAGTTGTTCTAGTTGAAAGATGAAGCACATACGAAATGACTTACAGTCAGTTACCAAGAGACATCACAGGACTAGGAAGTGGAGTAAGTGGAGAAGGGGGTGCGTGGTGGGGGCCTGAGCACAGGCGGGGCACCCAGAATGCTTCATACCCTCGAATTGGATCTGTTTGCTTGGTTTTCCCTGGGCAAAATGGTGGCTTTGGATCCTAAAAAGGCTGACTATCTCCCGTCATTACCTGAAGAATTTCTTCCCCAAATCAATAAGAGCTGCTTCTGCAGTTCCTTTCCTTGTCCAGTGCCACCTTCATAAATCAGATCCTTAGAGTTGCTTGCCTGAGTTGAGGTACTGGATTTGCATAGATCTGTGACTTGGCCACAGAATGCAACATACAAACCCACAAGGGGCCACACCCACGGTTCTGGCCTCATTAGTAGGGGATGCGCTCTGCCCGCTCCACTGATAAGATCACTTGATTAAATCCCCCTAACGATCGCTTGCTTTCTTTCCTTAGCCGTTTTGGGTGCGACTCTTCTTTTGGAAGCAGGTGGTGGAAAAAATCCCACTCCAGCCAAAACAGTTCAGGATTTTGAATCCGGTTATTATCAAAGAGACTGCCTTTGACATCCTTCAATACTCAGAGCCTCAGTCAAGGTTCTGGGGCCGAGATAAGGTATTCTTGTCGCTACTGAAACTTAACTGTTCTTCTCTGTGTTGGAAAGGAGGCGCCTATACAGCTTTCAGTTAGGCTCAGCTGTATACCCAGAAGCATCTTCCAGGGATGAAACCGAGTCATTGATTAGATGTTCCATGTGCTCTTCCCTCTCTACATCTTCACCTTAGGGCTCCCCACTGTTTAATCCCCCCACTCCTGGTGGCTCATCTCATTAGCACAGTCAGCACGTTAGCGCTTCAGTCACTGAGATATTATTTAAGGTATTCTTACTCCAGGACTCCATGTAATTAGCTGCAGGACACTGAAAGGAACTTCGGTGGTCAGAAAGTTCTTTACATTTTAACTCTACAGGCCACTTGGGTGAAAATTGACGTTTATCATCACTTTATAGGTGAGAGCAGTGCTTTTCAGTTGATGCCTGGATCCCACCCCATCAGACGTTCTGATTTAATCTGTCTGTGTTGTGGTCTGTACATTGGGATTTTCAAAGTTCCCTGGGTGATTTTATTTTTCAGCCTGCTTTGAGAACCTTGGTGCTATAGGCTGTTCACTGCACTAGATTCTTTACCTGCGATTAGCCTGTGTTGCTACTAGGCGGAGATGCCTTTATTACCTGTTTCTTCATGATCTGAATAGCTAAACCTGTGTCTTTAAATAAAACTTCTTTAAAAGCAGTGGAAATGGTTTAAGCAAAACATTTATATTTAAGGAAAAGCAAGGAATTTTGAAACGTGGGGACTGCTACCCACACTGGGGGCCTGAGATACCTCCTAGGAAATGGGGCTGGTCCAGGGTGCAATTTGCAAATGGAGCTAGACTCAGGGGTCCTCATCCAATAGGCAGATGAGCAGGGTCTTCTATTTGCCCTTTGAATCAAATTCTAATTAAAAAGATGCTTTAACACAACTGTGTAAATTTTAAAGGAAGAATTCTGTGCTTGTTAAGGAAAACAAATACCTGAATAGTCTCCTTAAAAACAAAAACCTAGTTCTTCACTGCGATCAGTAAGAGCTAAATCCAACTCTGGCTCCAACTTCAGGCTTGAACACCCAGCTCGGGTGAAATGGTTCACATAGTGGAAGCTGTTCCCTTCGCAGTCCGCCGTTTTCCTCCAGGGCTCTGGCCTCTCCATCCATGGGGAGCCCAGGAGGGCCATGTAGTTTCTGCCCATTGCAGGAACGTGTCCAGAACCCGTGATGTGTTTTGCCTCTCATAGGAGAGCAGCCCTACCCCCGACCAGTGACTGTCAGGTCTCTGATTGGCTTTAGCTGGGCTCTCCCACACAGAGCACATGGGTTCCTCCGGAATGTGGGCTTACAACTTTTAACCTGTTGGCATCACTTTTAACAAAACAATTTTATAAAAAAGACAACATACTTTGGCAAGATTCTTAAACTAAGTTATAAAGAGGTTTCACTATAAGTGCACTTAGATTTCTGTATCTTTTAAACTGCCCCGTTTCTTTATTAGATTCCATAGTATTTTTTTAAACACAGGCAGATGCTCATTTGTTGGTTTGCAGGTCGATTTTATTTTTAAAATAACCTTTAAAAAATGGACAGATTTAATTACGTGAAATACGAAATTGCTGAATGGCGAAGGGTATCAGAAACAAAGTTAGTGGGGGAAAATTTATCATAGAAATCACAGAGTAAATATTCTCAAAGCATTTAGAGATCTTATTAAATCAAAAAGAAAAAGATGAGCCAATAAAGAACTGAGGAAAGGATATGAACAGACATTTCACAGAAGAAATTAGTACAGCCCAGGAATACATGGTAAAATGTTCATCTTCACCAGTAATCGAGTAAAAGCGAATTAGAGCCACAGTGACATTTTTTGCCTGTTTTGTTAGCAGAGATTTAAAAGCTTGATAATGTCCTTGTTTGGCAGGAATGTAGGTCGAATTATAAGTTGGCACTTTTTCCGGAGCGTGGTTTGGCAATACATATATCACTTTAAAATATGAATAGTCTTGGGCTTCCCTGGTGGCACAGTGGTTGAGAGTCCGCCTGCTGATGCAGGGGACACGGGTTCGTGCCCCGGTCCGGGAGGATCCCACATGCCACGGAGTGGCTGGGCCCGTGAGCCATGGCCGCCGAGCCTGCGCGTCCGGAGCCTGTGCTCAGCAACCGCAGAGGCCGCAACAGTGAGAGGCCCGCGTACCGGAAAAAAAATATATATATATATGAATAGTCTTTGACCCCGCAATTTGACTCTAAAAATTTTATTAGAAGGAAATTAGAGAAAATCTGCAAGGCTATTCTAGGATGTTCATCGTAGCATTGATAGCAAAGGACTAAAAACAGCCTAAACATTCATCATTAGAGAATTGTTTAAACGTTATGGTATAGTCGATGCAATATCGTGTGACTGTTGAGGATGAAGAAAAACTAATGGATATGAAAACACCTCCACAATGTATTAAGCAAGAAAATCAAGTTACAGAACATTTATTTAATCCCGTTTTTGTTTAAAAACTAAAAATGTATATATAGTTGCATAGGTAAAAGCTTGGAAAGAATCACCAAACTGTGAAGAATGCCCTTCTCTGGAGAGTGAGTCTATAGGAGTCTTTTACATTCTACTTTATAATTTATCATTTGAATTGAATATTTGCTTATTTTTTATCATTGTCAAAATGGTATTCTTCTTTTGGATAAAAACAGTAACTTGGAAGATGGCTTCTGATCTAAAATTGCATCGTCAGAAACTCCCTCATGCATCTGCCCTCCCAGCAGACAGAGAAGAAGCCTGTTGGACAGTGAGGGCTGCTCTTGGGGGACGTGTTCTGGAGATAACGTGCTCTGGGGAGCTTTTGATAGTTTCTGAGTTTCTCTCCATGCATTACCCCTATGTACTCCTCCACAGACACTGATGGGTACTCCTAAGGTGCTGTGTGCCGAGCTGGCTGCAGGTGGAGAAGACAGGACACACTGCCTTAGAGTCCTAAGCCCAAACAGGAGGCTGGCTTCTTTAGGGTCAATTTCCCTTGGTTTTTATTTCCGAACATGTAAAATGACTGTTGAGTTCCTTTTTAATAAGGGAGGTTGGCTTTGAGAGGTAGACATGACACACTGGGGAGCAGGAAGCAGTTTTTATCAAATGGCGGGTTCCCTGGATGTTCGCTATTCCCACCTTAATCTCTGAACTCTGAAAGGTTCACTGTTGTTCCAGTTTACAGAAAAGGAGAACTGTTTATGGAAGTCACAGACTCGGCTGAGATGAACCAAGGAGGTATATTTGCACATGAAAGACGATACAAAAGAATATCAAGTACTAGATGGGCAGCAGTCTCCAAGGAGGGCTTAGGCACTGCAGGGCTTTCTGTATTCCTGTCTGCCGCCCTGTGTGCTGTCTTTACCCAAGTCTGTGAGGGAGATCCAGAGAACCAATTCCAGATTTACAAGTGGCAAGATGTTGGACGTGAAGAGGAAGTGGTGATACAGTCAGAATCCAAAATTTTGGACATCTGGCATTCTAGGCCAAAGTCAGCAAGGGTACATTTTGGAAAAAACAAATGTGAAAGCCCGTAATTTGAGGCAAAAAATGTACTTGCCTGAACAGAGAGCGAGCAGAAACTGGCTGAGCTGCAGGACGTGTGAAAATGGCCTGGGGGTGTTATTTGCCAGAAGGACAAGTAGGGGTGAAGTAAGACTGTCTTCACAAGTAAGGGGTGAAGACAGTCTTCACCAAGGAGAGCTGAGTCCGCTCTGTTCTCAGGCAGAGGCTGTGCAGGAGCCAGCCAGGACGGGACGGGTTCCCAAACCATGTCCGGAGAAGGGCTGTGGCCACTTGTCCCAGAGCAGACCTTGTAGACGTTTGTCACATGAGAGAGGAAATGGGTTAGTCTTGCTATTATGGTCATTCTGTGCAGGACTGGTGGGTGGAAGTTTTAGAAAGAACACCTTTTAGCTTGGTGCAACAGGACCTGCCAGGCTGCCTCTTGCTTGTGTGTTAAAAAGAATTCACATCACAGACCATGATTTAGAGTCTAGATTCCTGACTTGGATGGCAAGTCAGACTTTAGAATTGGGTGATATTTGAAATTGTGTGATGTATAAAATTGCAGCCCCCAGTGCCACTTTCATCACTTTGCATGGCATGTAGCGTACCTGTAAAGCAGTGACTTGTGCTAAGACCTTTTTTTTTTGTCTTTTCTCCTTTCCAGAACATCCCCACGATTGGTGTCATTGCCGTTGTCTTAGCCACGCACCTGTGCGATGAAGTCAGTTTGGCAGGCTTTGGCTATGACCTCAGCCAACCCAGAACACCTTTGCATTACTTTGACAATCTCTGTATGGCTGCCATGAACTTTCAGACCATGCACAATGTGACCACAGAGACCGGGTTCCTCCTGAAGCTGGTCAGAGAGGGCGTGGTGAGGGATCTCAGCGGAGGCATCCATTGTGAATTTTGAACCCAGAAAACCTCACTTGAAAATGCAGTTCTGACCAGGAGGGCTGTTTTTCACAGCCTTCTTGATGCGTCCTGCAAGACCTTTGAAGTGCAGCTGGTGTTTTTTAACTTTTAATTTAAAAAACAGAAACAATACAGAAAGTTCTGCTCTTCCCACTTTTTTTCCCTATTTATTTGAAGCCAGTGTTTTTGCACAAAATTTTGTAAGTTAATTTTGAGAATGGGAAAGACTTTGCAAAGAGAATTGTATGTAATGATGTTTTATTGTATTTTAAGAAAGTTATTTAATTTGTAAAAACTCTGTTCATGTCTACTGCACATAGAATCCCAGGTCACTATATGGAAGAAGGGAGGCGACTCCTTTGATGACAGCCCTGAATGCCTGATTCTGGTTCTCTGTTAGTCTGTTTGGTGGGACAGATGTCGGAAGCACTTCCAGGGTGACGTGCTGGGTAGCTAAACCACTGGGACTGGTTGGGCCATGCTGCTGCATGAGGCCTGGGCCGGTCGGAGAAGTTCACCGTCCCTCTCTGTTGATCTGCCTTCTGCAGGAAGACTTGTAGGAATCAAGCAGGGGAGCTGTCCTGCAGGTCCCAGGTCAAGGAGGGGCACAGAGACATTTTCTGTGTCCTCCGAGTACTGCAACGCTGCCCCAGGCGGACAACTCTTGGATTTCTTGAGAGTTTTTAACTGCCTTCCAAACACTTAAATGTTAATCCAGATTATTCCACTGTCTGTCTGAGGTGGCTTATAAAAATTAGGACAAAACCTCTGTTCTCCAGAGTCGTAGAGGAATAAACTCTTTCCAGGAATAATCATGTTTTCTGAAACACTGAAATGGAGTCTTCCCAGTGTTATAAATTGCCTATTTAAGAGAAAACGTTTTTTTTTTATTTTTGAATGCCTCCTTGGCAGTGTGTACCAGGCAGTGTGCTGGTCAAAAAAAAAAAACAAAAAAAAAACAGAATAAAAGCTTTTGAGGAACTCTTACAGTCTAGTTAATTTGAGTGCTTTTTTTTTTCCACCCCCAGAAAATAAGTTTATAAGTCTAGCTAAAATGTCCTTCTTGGATGCCACTGCTAGGCAGGACCTCACTGCAGATACCTGTGAGGAGGGCTGGGGGATGAAGGGGTCTCCTCCGCTGGCTGCTACTGCCGCCCCTCCCCCAATTCTATTTCTCCCACAGCCCCCCGGTGCAGCTCTTGACTCCCAGGCCAGGCCGATGGCTCCCGCATCTGCCGGCTCCTCAGCATATGCGGGGCAAGAAGCCAGGTCATAGCTCTGAATGAGTCCCTTGGATCTCCAGGGTTCTGGGGTCAAGCTCAGAGCAGCCTGCGTAGCAAAATAGGATTTCTCTGGTTTTATGTCTTTTCTTAAAATTTTCTATGGATTCTACTCTGTAAGACACTGTTTAGGAAAAAATGCTGTAAAATTCCTATCTGGGGCTTCCCTGGTGGCGCAGTGGTTGAGAGTCCGCCTGTCGATGCAGGGGACGCGGGTTCATGTCCCAGTCCGGGAGGATCCCACGTGCCGCGGAGCGGCTGGGCCCGTGAGCCATGGCCGCTGAGCCTGCGCGTCCGGAGCCTGTGCTCCGCAACGGGAGAGGCCACAACAGTGAGAGGCCCGCGTACCGCAAAAAAAAAAAAAAAAAAAGAAAGAAAATTCCTATCTGTTAAACGGTGAGACTTAGCTCTGAATATTGAGACTCAGGAAAACGGTCTGCAGCTGTCCTGTGTTTCAGGTGAGGCCAGGCCTGCACCACACACCTCCACCCCCTCATTCCTCAGGGGCTTCTTAGAGAAGCCCAAATGCTTATTAGAAAAGACAAGAAACAGCCAGGGTCCAACAGTTGGAAAGCTTTCCCGGTGCATCCCTTCACGGGTGCGCATGGTTTCGTGGTCTCGTTTCCCCTGCCTTGCACAGCTTCTGGGAAGTAGCCCGTCCAGCACTTCCTCAGCTTTCAACAAATACCAGACCTGGCCTCATCCCTCCCCTCCTACTCTGTGTGTCTTTTTTTTTTTTCATTTTTACATTGTTTTGCCCGTGCCTCTCAACGTTTAATTACTGGCAGGCAGTAAGTGCCCTAAGTGAATACAAAGGCATCTTTTTTTCAATGACCTTTCATGTGGTGTCCACCAATCAGAGTTGACCAGAGACCATCTTTGAGAACTTGAAGCACTTTGGCAGTTTTCGTTAGAAGTTGCTTCTTTGCTTCAGGGTTGTGTCTCCGCCTGCTTTTCTGGGAACAGACCTCCAGGTGCCCCAGGGTGTCACAAGGTTGGTCTCCAGTAACTGAGTTTCCTCCATCACACTTTCAACTTTGTTCAGCCTTATAGGCACACATGCTCTTGCGTGGATGTAATCATGGGTTTTGAGGCAACTTGGGATGACTTACACATGTTCTCTACTTTAACATACTTCTCACTAGAACTTTGAGCCACAGAAAATTTAAGTGAGTTTTAGTTTTCTGTTTTTTCCTACAGAGAGCTTTTTCTCTCCAGAAACCTAGGCTGGCCGTAGAAAAATGTTTTGGGGACCAGGATGAGTATCTCTTGATGACGTGTGCCATGTTTCTAGGCAAAGATAAATTGGGATCTTCTGAACAACTTCATTCCTCTAGGTGTTACCTTGTCTTCTTCACTGATATTTTTGTGTCACGGTGGTGGTGGTGTTTTTTTTTTTAATTTCCCAACAATGTACTAATAAGGCATTGGCATGTCTATTCTCACAGATTTGGGGGTGGGGGCGGGTCTCATCTGTGGACCCATTAGTTAAAATAAGTTGTCAAGCCCACTTTTTGGACTGTTTCTGTTGAACTATGACCTCTTGACCGGCAACGGTCAATCTGGTTTGCAGACATGGGCTGATTGTAAAAGAGAACAAGAAGTAGTCACACCCTAGTCTCCCCAGGGCATTAAAGATTTCTGAAACCAAGGACCTCTTTATTTTAACTACATTCTAACTCCAGTGCTTTTGGACTTGATATCAAAGGGATTGTTACATTTGCCTTATTTCTGTCTCAGGAGAATCTTTTAGACCAGCATCATAGGAAGATTTTGAAATGGGATCTATTCTCCTTGGCAGGTTTACAGCATCCAGGTGTGGGTTATTTTTTCTTCCTTTCTTTGGTGCACTTCAGTCAAGCGCGTTGAGAAAGAAGGAAATGACTAGTTCTGTGATTTAGCAGAATTCCCCTTAGAATGAAGTGAGCTTTTAGAATGCTTGTGTAGCAAGCAGGAACTGTGCAATGCTGGGCCTGACTTCCGTTCACGCACATGGTGACAAAATGCTTCTCTCAAACGAAGGACTCTGTGTTGCTGCCCGTGGGACCGACACCGTCTTCCCAGACGCTGACCCTCCCTGAAGGCCGCCCAGATGACCACACCCTCAGCTCTCAGACTAAAGTGCAGACAACAGGGGAAAAGGCCCAGTACATAGCGCACCCCCTGCCCTTCCCTGGAGGGCCAGGCACCCTGGCCCAAACTTGTCTTTTTCCCTTCTTTCCTACATCCCAATGCCATTTTAGCCTGTTTTTGTGTTCACAGAACAAGGTGTTTATCTGTATTTACCTACAACCGACACAACATAAAACTGAAGTAAATTGAAGAGAACCATTCATTCATATGCACATTCAAATTTTGACAAGAGGGCTTCCCTGGTGGCGCAGTGGTTGAGAGTCCGCCTGCCGATGCAGGGGACATGGGTTCGTGCCCCGGTCCGGGAGGATCCCACATGCCGCTGAGCGGCTGGGCCCGTGAGCCATGGCCGCTGAGCCTGTGCGTCCAGAGCCTGTGCTCCGCAACGGGAGAGGCCACAGCAGTGAGTGGCCCCCGTACCGCAAAAAAAAAAAAAAAAAAAATTCTGACAAGAAAGTAGTGCTCCCCAAAAGGAAACCGCAGTCTTTGTAGTTGGACTTTCATTACCCAAATGATTCAATTTGACTAGTTCCCAGTATTAAAGTCCAACCCATTCTGCAGACAGGAAAAGTAGCCACTCAGTGGGGCTGTGGTGAAATGAGAATAAATTACGTGCTGTGAAATTTAGTTATGACTTTTTTAAAAGCAGATTTTTCCAATGAGCTGTGTCAATAAGACATGTCCAAAGAATGACAGGTTTATAAGTTTCCTTCTGTCTGGCAGAAGTGAGATGTCAAGTTTTGCTCTGGTGTCAGGCAGCCATCCAAGATGGGGGCAGATGTAGCCATTACGGCCTTTGTGTAGCTGGAAATATTAACAAAGTGAACTTTCAGAAAATGTACAGTAAGAAACTATTCAGGAGATGTGTCATAACAGCAATAACTGTACACTAAAAACTTGTAACTTCTAAAGGAGCAATGTATTTCCACTCTGTTCTCTGTTACCTGGCTTATATTCTTTTGATTTATCGAAGAAAATCAGTTTCAAGAAAAATGACATTAAAGACAATGACGGAATTCCCTGGTGGTCCAGTGGTTGGGACTCCACGCTTTCACTCCTGAGGGCACAGGTTCAATCCCTCGTGGGGGAACTAAGATCCCACAAGTCACACAGTGTGGCCAACAAATAATAAATAAATAAATAATAAAATAAATGGTGGACAAAATACTTTCTATGAGGTTTTGTTCTAGAGCTGCTTCCTCTTCCAGTGTGATATTTAGTACGAACAGGAAGACTCAAAAAAAATATACGTACACACACACACACACGCTCCAAACAGGCAAAACTATAGATTCCAGTGTAAACCAAAAGTCTTGTCCTAAAGTTAAAAGTTGAGTGGAATGTCCCAGCAGTGGCCTTTCCCCCTCTGTCTCGTCTGTGGCTCATCTATGTCACTTTTCTCTAAATTGACCTAAATTTAAGAACACGGTGTGTACTGTGATCCTGGAGGGTGAGCTGAGGAGAAGTCAGACAGACAGACCCTCTGTTCTCTCACTAACCTCTCCTATTCTCCCGACATCACCACCACTCATGATCTGGAAACAGGACCAGGAATCAGGAAACATCTGGTCGACCTCTTGCTTCACGGCTGAGCATTTAGGGTTCATGCACGCCAGCCTGGCACCTCTCATCTGGAAGGGGTGGGCAGTCTCAGTTCCAATTATACTGTCCAATTAGCTTGTCAAATATCCTGGTTTTGACTTTAAATAGTATAATCACCATACTCATTGCTTTATAGATTTATTCCTAGTGACTTATTTTGTGTTTTTTTAAAGTATTTATGCCAAGACAGTTGGAGTAACTTTCAGAAGGGGTTCTCCTGACCACTTACATCTCAGCCTGAAGCTACTTCAAAGTTGCTCCAGAATTTTCCCCAAACCTTTCTCTATAGAGGGCCAGTCCTGATTTTCTTCCCCTCTCCCTTTTCTCTGCCCACCCCACCCCCTGTTCACATCCTGTACTAAACATTGATTTAGCTTCTCTCCAACTAGAAAGAATCCTTCCTCTTTAGGAAGTTTGCAAAATTAGGCTGACAACTGAGGAGATTCTGGCCTGGAGCTAGGAGCCAGATTTAAAAACCACAGCCTTGTGTCAAAACTTCCTGCAGAAACAAAGGACTATCTAATTTCTATTGTCCAATTTTGAATACTCCTGAAAAAAGTTAACAGGATTTTAAATATCATTTAGCATTGAGATATGAAATAGAAAGAAGAAAAGCTCATTTAGATCATTTTTCATTTCTTCAGGCTTTTTGAAGTCTCTGTGTATGAGCTCCTTTGCATAACAAACTTGGGTTTCAGTAGCCCTGCAGCTGGCCTATGCACTGGGGAAATCCAAAACGTCTATTAACACCCACTGCTACAGCTTTGTTGTAAGAGAGAAAGGAGAGGGAAATATTTTGACATGTTTGTCCTATTGGCCAACAGCCCAAATTTGGTAATGTCCACAGTGACAGCATGGCGGGGCGCTGGTCCACCATCAGCTTTGTGGGTGCCTCCACATTACTGTCATTGTCTGGCTCAAGGGTCTGTTGGCCTCAACTCTGGGAGAGGTCTGACCAGGTGAGAACAAAGGCCGTGCTGATTCCTACCTGCTCCAGATGCAGCCCCACATTCTCCAAAACTTGGAACTGAAACCCTGATTGTTCTATTTTTAAAAGCAGTGAAATATACCAGCTCCTAGAATACAAAAGTGAGACCAACGGCGGGGGCCCCTTCTGCCGGCTCGATTCTGTGGCTCTGGCTAACCGTTCTGTATGGAACACCATTTGTTCAAACGCTGAGAACAGCCGATGGTCTGCCCACGGTTCCAGACAGATGCTCTTGGCTATAGGTTAGTACTCAGTGGGCCTGCCCCAAAGATCCTGCCCCGTGACACCTGGTGCTAGCTCCTCGCCTGCTCTGCCAGCATGGTCATCCTTAGTGCGATAGCCTTCCTAGAGCCACGGCTGGACCCTGATGGACAGGCTGCAGACAAAATGGACCCTGTCCTAGTGCCCTGGAGTTCAGTCTAGAGGGGAAAAAACATTAAAGACATGAACATGACAACGCAGGCATTAGAGCACAGGGGAGGGCACTGTAGAGCCAGGA